GTGTATCCACGAAGCCTCTCTCCTGGCTCCAGGGAATGACAACGTTCTCACTACCTTCCCTCACAGCCGGCATCCTAACACCAGAGGTGCCTCGAACTCCAACCTCGCGAAACCTGCCGAGTGAATCCAACCTCGATGTCGTTCGACAGGCTCTCGCTCACGTCTACCAAAACGTATACGCGTGAAGAGGGCTGTTCGCAGGAGAAGATTTCATCGAGTGATGCTACGCGAATGCGAGCACAGGAGATGGAGAGGGAGGTCCCTTCGCGAGACACATGCCCTCGTGATCGGATCACAGGCTCTCGAGGAACACCAGCAGCGCCTCTCGCTCATCCGCCGAGAGTGCCTTGTAGCGCTGCGTGGTCCCGAGCGCCTCGCCACCATGCGCGAGGATCGCCTCTTCCAGCGTAGCGGCGCGGCCATCGTGCAGAAACCGCGCGTGCGGTTGGTCCGCCACGCGACCGATCCCCCAAAGTGGCGGCGTGCGCCACTCTCTGCCTGTCGCCTGGCCATCGCTGACGCCATCACCGAGCGCCTCGCCCATGTCGTGGAGGAGCAGGTCCGTGAAAGGATAGATCACCAGCCCGGAGAGCGGCGCACCAGAACCAGCGCGTTCCTCGATGCGCGTCGTGGCCCGTGGCACATGGCATCCAGCGCATCCGATCGAGACAAACCGCTCGAACCCCGAGCGCTCTCGCTCCGGATCGACCACACGCCTCGCTGGCACGCCCAGAAGCCGCATGTACTCGACCACCGCGTCGAGCCCCCGCGCGCTCACCTCGAAGCTCCCTCCATCAGGCGCATCCAGGCACGCCTGCTGCGGAGGAGCGCAATCATCGACAGGCTCTACAGGACTCGTGAGCCCCATATCCCCGAGGAACGCGCCCGCGATCTGCTCGCGCAAGGTCACCGAGTTCGCCTTCCAACCAAACCTCCCCGCGACCTTCGCGCCATCGTCGCGGGTGTGCCAGTGAATCCGCCCGGAGATCCCGTCGCCGTCCTCGTCCTCAGGATCCTCGAGCGCCTCGAGGTGCTCGGTAGGGATCGCATCGAGCAAGCCCATCCCCGTCAGATGTGGCGACAACCTCGGCCCGATCCCCGTCTGCTCTCCAAAATCACCGTACGCACGCTCCTCGAACACGACCATCAACGCATCCCCCAACTTCACGCGGGGAGCGTCCTCCTCGATGCCTGCTGGCTCTTCACCTTCGGTGAGGGCATACCAACGCGGAGCGGCCTCTGGTTCGACCCCGCTCGACGCGCGAGGTTGAAGCTGACCTCCATAACTCGCGTCCGCGCGCCCCTGTTCATCACGCAATCGAAAGAGGATGCCCGGGCCAACCTCTCCGCCCGCGAGAAATGTCGGAGGACGCCCCTCAGGCGGGTGGCATCCAAGGCATGACGAGACATGAAAGAGTGGTCCGAGGCCATCGAGTAGCTCGCGACCTCCGCCAGCAGGCTCCCACTCCGCCACGAAAAACTCTCGCCCCCGCGACGCTTCCTGGAACGCCTCGAGCGGAAGGTCCTGGATCAACGTCGAGAACAAACGCTCCGGCGGCGCATCCACGGTCGCGCGGTCCGCGATCGGATCGCGCAACGGGCCGTCATCGAACATGGGAAGAGGCATGTCATCCAAAGGTGACATGTCCCGCACGTCCTGCCCCGAGTCGGCCAGCTCAGACAGGTCTGGTGAGGACATGTCCAAATCTCCCCGGCCGTGATCTCGCGAATCAGCGGGCGAATCTTCCTCATCGAGCACCACGGGCGGCTCGACTGGTGTCGTCGCCTCGACGCAAGCAGCGCTGGCGATGCTCGCGAGCATCGCCAGCGCCCACCTCTCTCTCACCCCGATATTCACTCGCCCTCCTCGGGCAAGGCGATGAGGATCGGCACGCGATAGCCCCATCGATTAATGACGCCCTCGCCACCTCCGAGCGAGCCCTCAAAGCTCCAGCCCCACGCGAACGCCCTGCCATCTCGTCTCATGGCGAGTCCCTGGAGAGCACCGATCGCCACGGACACTGTCTCCTCGACGCCAAAGACGGCCTCGGTCGGCGCGGCCATGTTCCCATCGTCGATCAAGCCGAGGTTCCCCGAGAAGTTCTGCCCCCAACCGAAGAGGCGCCCGCGCGCGTCCTCGATAAAGCTCTGGTTGCCCCCAGCGTAGACGGCGACAGCGCCCGAGATGTCCTCTCGGAGCATCGGAGAGAGGACATCGTCCTCTCCAGCGCTGGCTTGATTCGATGCATTGAGTCCCCATGTGTAGATCGCGCCGCTTTCGGTGAGCGCGATGACGTGATCTCGACCAGCGGCGAGATCGATCACATCCTCGAGTCCGGGGACCTGCGAGGGGACGGGGTGCGCCTGATCGTCAGCGACGCCGCCGCCGAGGTTCCCATAGGTATTCTCACCCCAAGCCCAGACGGTGCCATCATCGAGGACCGCATAGCTCGTCGCGGAGGCGCCGAGGATCAGCCGCGCGTTCGAGAGGCCAGGAACCTGCACCGGCACATCGCGATCATCGGTGGTCCCATCGCCGAGCTGACCATCGGCATTCTTGCCCCATGTCCAGATATGTCCCGACGCATCGAGCGCCATCGTGTGGTCGAAACCGCGCGCGATCATGACCACATCGGAGAGGCCACCGATCTTCTCGGGGACCAGGCGATCCACATCATCGAAGGCGTCATCGGCAGCAGCCGTCCCGAGCCCGAGTTGCCCATCATCGTTATCCCCCCACGCCCAAACATGACCCGATGCGTCCAGCGCGATCGAGGTATTTTGAGTAACCGAGATGGAGATAAAATCACTCGCGCCCGCAGCGAGCGCGACGGGGACCGTGGGGTGCGCGCCATCATCCTCGTTGCTCAGCGATGATGTGTAACCGAGGCCAACCTGCCCCTTGTTGTTGCGACCCCAGAAGTGCAGGACGCCATCGATGATGGCGCCGCCGTGAGCGCCTCCACTGGAGAGGCGATGCCCCTGATAGACGGTGCGATCCAGCGTGGCCTCGTTCCCGGCCGCGTCGCGAGCCGTGATCGTATAGCTGTTCATCCCCGGAGTGAGATCGAGCCAGCCGACAAAAGCTTCATCCTCATATGTGAGCGCGATCGTCGCGCCTTGTTCGTCGAGGAGCTCGACTTCGACGACCTCGATGTTATCCACCGCGTCCACGCGCACATACGCCCCCGTCCCACGGACATCGTGACCATCGATAGGTAACGACGCGAGGATCTCTGGCGGGGTTTGATCCTCGAGTCGGACAACCGTGAACTGCTCCTCGAAGGTGACTCCTTTCGCCGTCGTCGCGATGACCTCGAACGCGTTGTCACCGAGCAAGAGCGGAAGCTCGAGGGTGAAATCCGTCACGTCCCCGTCTGTCACGAGGGACGCGTCCCACTGCTCGTCGCCTCGTTTGACGGAGACACCTGCGATCTCGGACTCCGAGACAACCGATCCTTCGAGCTGGACGGAGTCGGCGTCGACCTCGAGCCCATCGAGCGGCGCATCGACGAGCAAGACGCCGCTGGCTGGTGCGTCTTTGACGAGCACGAGCTCGATGCTTCGGGCAAGCCCTCCCTCGAACTGCGCCTCGAACTCGTATCGGTGGACACCCGGCGTGACCTCGACATCGAAGGCCACGCTGGCCCCAGCAAAGGGGCCATCCACGACGACATCAGCGCCACCATCGACGTTGTAGGAGAGCGCTTCGAGGACGCCATCTTCCCAACCCAGCTCGATCGTCTGCGCGTCTCCTTCGACGACGGCGCCATTGGCTGGCGACAGGAGCTCGAGGGTGGGGTCAGCGACCTCCTCGGGGGTGGTCTGGTTGTTCGCTGGTGGTGAGGTTGTGTTGTTTGCCGAAGGCGTGGTTTGTCGGTTGTTCGTGGAGGAGTTGTTGTCGCCAGCCTCCTCACTCGGCCCGCAAGCCGAGGCCATCAAAAGGAAGGCGGCAACACAAGAGAGCGTTCGCGTCGATGTCATGTTCAATCCGGTAGAAAGTGATGCTGTTTTCACGAGAGGGACCCACGAGATGGGCGAAGGCTCCCTCAGCGGCACGCATCGATATTGAAAATCATTATCATTTTCAACCAGAATCTTCGCGAAACAAAACCGCGAACACCACTCCATCGAATCGAGAGCGAGCGTCGCGGTTAGAATAAAGCGGCCACTGGCAGGTTACTTACTCGCTCAGGCCATACTTCGCCCGACACTCATCGGGAGGCATCTTGCAGGTCTCGTGCTCCTCGCCATTCATCATGCAGCTCGAGCTTATCGAGCCGCAGTAGCGCTTCGCCACGCCGCTCACCGCCTGCGTATCCCCTTGCTCGGTGTAGGCAGCTATCGCGGCCTCGCATGCCCCCAGGATTTTTATCTGCTGCTCTTCGAAGAAGTTGCGTCGACACATCGCCGCGTTGATCCGCGCGGCAGCAATCGAGTTCACGCCTTCCTTCTCCGAAATCACCTGCGCGACCGCGATGCAGGCATCGACCGCTTCGAGCGAGATCGGTACCCCGCAGACCTCCTCACCGGTCGCGGGATCACCCTCGCAGCTCTTCTTCCAGTATTCACTGTCAGGCGTGCAAGTGGGCACGAAGTACTCCATGGCGCCCTCGACATCAGGATCGCCGCCGACGCCCTGATACAGCATCTCGGCGTAACGCATGCACACGCTCCCCATCTTCTCATCGCGAAGTTCGCAGCTCTTCTTGTAGTACGCACGCGCCTCGGAGAGGTCGCGATCGATGTTCTCCTCGACGATGTGGTAGCCGAGCGATCTGCACGCGTCCTTTTCCTTTGCCTCACACCGCTGCTCGAGGTGTGCCACGGCGAACGCGAGCCAATCCTCGGCGCGGACATCCTCGCCGATATAGTGATCTGCCCATGCGCCGCAATGCAGACGTGACTCGTCGATCGCACAGGCGCGTTGAACGAACGCGATGTGGTGTGAATCGAACTCCTCGTCGGCGAGGTCGCCAAAGATCCCCCGACGAGGATCCTCATCGAGCGAGAGAGACACGTTCAGGTAGGTTCGCCCGATCATCGAGCAGGCCGCAGCGCTCCCCGTCTCACACGCCCTGAACCAGTAAGGAAGCAACGCGATGATCTTACTGGCCTCGAGTTCTCGGTCGACGATATCGAACGCTCTCCCCTCGATGCAGGCGTCCGCCTGGCAAGTGGCGATCGTCGCCTCGACCTCGTCGGTGTATGCGCCAGGCTGGGCCTCTTTATAAGAGGCGATGGCTGCGGCCACGAGCTCTTCCTCGGCGCGCTTCGCGTCCTCGTCATAGGCTTTGGCGAGCAGCGCCTCTTCCTCGCTCATTTTTTCAGCGCCATCATCGACGCCAACGGTCGTTTCCGCCGCGTCATTCTTCTCTGTGGGGTTCTCGTCGGGGTTCTTTTGCTTCCCGCTGCACCCCACCCCCAAAACACACATCATCGCGAGCGCCAGCGCGCTCGTTCCATGCTTCGACATCACCCGAAACCTCGTCCTCTCGCGGTGTGTGGATCACACCTCCAGCAAAACAAGCGAGCACTCCAACGCTCGCGATGACGCTGACGCTCGTGCAAGCGCCAGCATCGCTCTAACCATGTGGGGCTGCATACTACACGTTTGGCCGGGGACCAAGCTCGCGAGGTGATGAGGACGTGAAAGTGAGGCGGCGTCTCAGTCGCCCTCGACGGCGGGCATGTGGCGACTGTCCGTAAACGTGAGCGCGATATCCCAGCGACCATCCGAGACCTCGAAGCCAAGACCTCGCAAAACCCGAATCAATGGGACGCCATCGCCGACCAGCAGCATAGGTTGGGGTTCGTGCAGCTCTCCGCCACGGTCGAAGCGATGCTCGCGCTCCTCCCAAACGGCGGTCGCCCGAAAGCGCACATCGTTATCGCTCCCCCCGAGCGGCTCGTACCAAGGCGTACACACGTAGTCACTGATCCAACCTCCGACCCACGCCGTGCACAGACGACATGCATCCCAGAAGCGCATCAGGCTCGATCGATAGCGATGCTTTTCAGGCTCGAGCCGCAACAGGCCGTCCTCCCCTTGCTCGAGGTAGAGCCCATGGCTTGCAAACAACGACTGCATGAAGCAATCGCCCCCATAGCTCTCCTCTTCGCGCCCTTTGGGGACCCCCAACCAGTGATGTCCGAGCGCGCGAAGCGTCAGCGTCGCGATCAAGTTCCCGCCCTCATCGAAGGCGTGATCGAGCGCCCCTTTCTCGATGGCCGCGACATGGATGGATGTGATGTCGAGGTCATTGTTCGCCACGATCTCATCATGGCGAGGATAGATCTGTTGCCAGGTCAAACCCTCTCGCCAAAACTCTTCCGGCTCGAGCTCGACCATGCCCCCGAAGCAGCAAAAGGGATCGCCGAGAAAGGGATACATGTCATCCTCGTCCGAATAGACCGAGAGCGCGCTCTTGACGCGCTCTTTCACAGAAATCTCTGCCGGCACTTCGACCTCTTCCCAGGAGGACTTCATTCTGTACCAGGGGACAGCGTTGTGAGGCGCGAGCGTCGTGACAAGCTCAGGCAGTAACTCCATCAACTCGAGTTGTTTTCCAGCCTTGATGTAGTTGTCACCAGGCACATCCCCGAAATTCAAATGCCGCAAGCCCCTGAAATGTGGAGCCGAGAGCATCGCCTTCAACTGATTCCAGGAGAGCTTGCTCCCTGCGATATCGAGCGAGACGAGACCTCTCAGGTGCGTGGCCTCGGCGAGGACCTTCGCGCAACCTTCATCGATCTCGGAGTAACCGAGCCCGAGATGCTCGAGGTTCGCGCGCTTTAGACCTTCCAACCCATGCTCGAGCGCCTCGGGCGTGAGCGCATCGATCGCGAAAAAGTCGAGCGAGCGAAGCACCCCGACATCAGGCGCGTGACAGATGCCGATGAAACTCTCGACGCTCTCATCATCCAGTGACAGGAACTGCCCCAACGCGTGGAGAGGATGCGAGCGAAGCTCGAAGGACTCCCTATCCAGTTCTTTATTCCACCAGACGTAACCGCCCCATTCACGCGTCCCGGCAGGCCAGCCTTCGAGCATCTCCAGCGCGTAGGGGAGCCACTCTTCTTCGACCGCCCCAGGTTCTCGCTCGTGCGCGCTCATCATCGCGTTGAAGAGTTCTCGAAAGCGCTGCTCTGTTTGCTTTTCATCTGCATGAAAAAAAGCGCGCAACTCCCCGAAAGACCACACCGGCTGCTCATCACTCACGGGTCACCTCCCGGCGAAAGAAACATCTCGAGATACGTTCCTAGCTCAAGCCAACTCGCCAGCCACGTTCCAGGCGAGGTAGTCGCGACGGTTGGCGCGGTTGGAGTAGAGCGCGATCGCGTGCATCAGCTTGGTGGTCGCGGCTTCGAGGCTCAACCTGCCACCGGCGATCACGCCCGCGTCCAGGAGAGGCTTGCTGTTTTGATAGAGCCCGAGGTTCACCGCGCCAGCGCTGGGCGTGATCGCGAGCACTTCGATGCCAGCGTCGACGGCGCGCTGCAAGACAGGACCGAGCGCGCGGACCTGGGTGGGCACTGTCCCCACACCAAAGACGCTCAACACGATCCCTTCGATCTCGCTGTGTTCTAACAGCGCCTCGAGCACGCCAGGGTCTAGCCCTGGCGTCACATGCAGCGCGAGCACCTTGTCGGTAAACCGAGGATCACATCTGAAGGGGACCAGCGGCCTGCGGATATGTTCGCCAAAGTTGATATCGACGCCCAATCTGGCGAGCGGCGCGCAGGTTGGCGACTCGAACGCGCGATAGTCCTGAGCGTTGGACTTGGTGGTGCGACAACCTCGAAGCAGCAACCCATCGAAGCAGATGCCGACCTCGGGGATGTCTCCTCTGGCGGCGAGCTCGACGGAGTCTGCGAGGTTGCGCCTGGCGTCTGTTCGGAGCGCCGCGAGCGGACGCTGCGCGCCGGTCAGGATCACTGGCAGGTCGAGCCCTTCGAGCGCGAACGCGAGCGCGCTCGCTGTGTAAGCCATCGTGTCCGTGCCGTGCACGATGACCACGCCGTCGAAGTGGCCTCGCGCGTCGTTGATCGCCGCCGCCAGCTCACCCCACACCTCGGGGCTCATGTCACTGGAGTCGACGTTGCAAACGATGCGGCTCTCGATCTCGGCGAGCTCGTCGAGCTCGGGGACCTGATCGCTCATGTGAGCGGCATACGCATCGGGTTGCAGCGGGCGCCCCTTCATCCCGAGCGTTCCTCCGGTGTGCAACAACAAGACCCTTCGCCTGGACATCATCAAACCTCTCACCATGCAAACATCTGCACTCATCGACGCTGCGAGTTCTGCCATGATCCCGATGGTGCGTCCAGCATTCGCGCCAAAACACGCGACCCAAGATCCTCGAAAGAAACGCGTGATTCCTCGCCGCGCGTTGCTTACGATAAAGAGCGAGCGACCGACAACCGATACAGCGGGGGAGCGATGAGAGAAAGAATGAGCGCGTGGACAGCAAAGCTCCAACAGGCAGGGATTCTGCTTATCCTCTCTTGCGCTGCGATGTCGTGCTCGCCAGATGCTGGCCTCGGCACAGACAGCGCCCGGGTGACCGAATGTCCTGAAGGATTCCGCGAGGAGCCGTGCGATATCTACTTCCTGATCAACAAGGAGCGGCAGGCCACAGGGATCGCATCGCTCAGGTTTGACCCATCGCTTGGCGAGGTGGCGCGATTCCACGCCAGCGAGATGCACAACGAAAACTACCTGGCCGAGGAGACGCTCGACGGTCGCACCTTCGAGGAGCGCGTCGGGGACTCAGACTTTCAGGGCGAGCCGCTAAGTCAGGACATCACCAGCGGCAAGCGAGACTCGCAGCGCACCTTCGACTTCTGGATGACCTCGGAGGCGTATCGACGACACATCCTGTCAACGGAGGCAACTCACGTCGGCATCGGCTATGAGGGTGGTGTTTGGGTGCAGATCATCGGGGAGGGAACAGCCTCACCCTCGGCGACCGAAGAGGGCACCGAGGGTGGGATGTAGAGCTCAAGGGGTGCGATCGTAGGCGAGCAGTTGCTCGAGCGGTCCTCGAATCCAGCCGCGCTGCAACCCGGGGATGTGCGAGCCGCCATTGATTTTCCAGAGCGAGACGCCGCCATTCTCGGGGCATCCCGGATAATCGAAGACCTCCGTCTCGCCATTGCCAGTCGAGAGCAGCGTGCGCGACTCTCCCTGCACCCAGTCCGCATCACAGCCGTTGTAGCTGGACCAACGCTCCACGGTCTCCTCGGCTCCCGGGTAAGCGTTCCCGAGGATCGCGCCGCCGCCATACAGGATCGTCTCGTCAGCCGTGCCGTGGAGGTGAAGGATGCCGACAGGCTCCTCGGGCTCGCAATCGGTCGCCTCGGCGAAGGTGGTTCCAGCGAGCGCCATGAGCGCGGTGATACGAGGCGCCGCGCGGCACGCGGTGGTGTACGACATGAAGCCGCCGTTGGAGTGACCCATCAGGTAAACGCGCCCTTCATCGATGTTATAGCGCTCGATCGCCTCGTCGATGAGACCGGTCACGTAGGCGACATCATCGACGCCTGTCTTGGCGAAATCACAACAGGCTGGCGTGGCGTTCCAGTAGCGGTTGTTCTGAGGATCTGCCAACCCATCCGGCGTGAGCAGGATGAAGTCCATGCGATCGACCTCGTTGCTCAATTGAAAGTAGAGGTCTTGCGCCGAGCCGCTCGCGCTGTAGCCGTGGAGCAGGATCACGAGCGGGATCTCTCGCACGTTATCGTAGTCATCTGGCACGAAGACTCTGGTCGGGCGGCCGCCACCGTCGAAGTTCGAGCGATCGACCTCGGCGACGGGCCCCATGTCCACGCCCATATCTTCGTCGGGCGTGCCCATATCCGCCTCGACATCTCCCATATCATCGGACGAAGCCCCCATGTCCTCCTGGGGATCAGGGCTCGTGTTATTGGCGGCGGTGTTATTGACCGCTGTGTTATTGGCGGCGGTGTTATTCGCGGCGGTGTTATTGGCGGTGCTGTTGTTTAGCACCACGGGGGTCGTGTTGTTGGCTTGCTCCGTCTCTTCGGGGCCACATGAGGCTGCGAGCAAGGAGAGCGCGAGGATCGAGGTCAGGGCGGTGTATTTCATCGTCTGGGTTCCACAATCGGGTTTTAAAGGGGAGGTTCGAGCCTTCAGGAAATCTCGAGCACGATCTTACCACGAGCACCATCACGCATCACGGCCTGGTGCGCGAGCGACGCATCTTCGAGCGCGAAGCGCTCTTGAATCAATGGCGTGAGCGAGCCGTCTGCGAGCCCGCTGGCGATGGCGGCCTGCGCGCGCTGCTTCTCTTGGGGGTTCATCCCGAAGAGCATCGCCGCGCTTATGGAGGACTCCTTGCTCATCATCTTGCGAGGGTTGATTTCGATAGGCGCGCGATTCCCGATCACCACGATGCGCCCTCTCCTGGCGACGAGATCGAGGTCTCTATCGAGGTTCACATGCGCCGCCATCTCGAGGATCAGCGCGAAGCCCTCGCCGTCTGTCGCCGCCATGAGCTCCTCGCCATACCCCTCGGCGCTATGATCGAAGACAGCCGCGGCGCCCTGCTCGAGGACGAGCGCGCGACCCTCGGCGCTCGAGGCGGTGCCAAAGACCTCCATCTGCGCCGCGATCGCGAGCTGCACACAAGCGAGCCCCACCCCACCCGATGCGCCATGCACCAGGACGCGCTCACCGCGCGCGGCGAGACCGATCTGGTGCAGCGCGCG